CAGCTTATAATTCACTTACTGCTATTCTCCTCTTCCTGTGCTTACCCTTCCATAGCAGACAGAAAGCTGACTGTAACTCACAGGACTCCGGCTGGGGAAAATGGGAGAGGCCTTGTCTCCGTTTCCGTGGCTTTTGGACACTTGTTCCTTTTTATTGACCTCTCAGAGTCCTTGCTTCACCACTTTCAAAACAATCAACCATTCTCCTCTCCATCTGCAGGGATGGTTAACATGCATTCAGTGTTTGTATCAAAAGATGGACGGGATTAATTTTTCCAAGAATGCTTCTGGGAAAGTGTTTAAAGGAAGTACATAGACAGACATAAAGCAGAATATCACCTGTCATCACTACTGCATATTCGGTATCTAGAACTTTCTTAGCTTGCATACCTGAAACCTGGTAGACAGTGGAGTAGACTATAATTTTCACACACAACATACACAAGTGGTAACTGAGATGATATGTTGACTAGCATAACTGTGTTCATTTTATAATGTGTATGTATAAGAAAGCAACGTTCTTTGCCTTAAATAGACATAATTTAAAAAAATACAACTTTACTCCAAAAAAGTTTTGGAGAAATTATTTTAAAATTCATTCTTGGAGTCTGATTGAATGGCATTTCTATGGTTTTACAACCATCATTTGGAATTTAAAGAACCATTCCTGTCATTATGATCTATTAAACAGTAGTAATGTCTTTCATTTTCTATAAGCAGTAGAAAAAGGTAAAATACTGCTGATTGTCATATAATTCATAACCTAGCCTGAAGATGACATGTTGTATGTCAGACAATTGGAAAACAATACAAAGCAGTGTTAATGCTAACAAAATCCTTACTGCATAAGATTTCAATCAGTGTATGAGTACTGTTATGGGTACTATGTGCTATCTCATTTTTTTTCTGATCCTAACATGCCTACCGAATAATCTGGCTAAGAAACAGTCAGTGCCGACACTACAGTGTAAGCCCCCAGTCTCATATCAGCAAGTACTTGTTAGCATGTAATTATATGGAGAGCACCCAATGATTAAACTAGGGTAAGCAGAGCTTCTATCTCTTTAAAGATAGTTCTCTGTATTCTGGGCCTCCAAACTCTTCCAGTTCTTTTAAAAATACTCAGCTTTTATAACTGAGAGTCGTCCCGCTGTGATGGAGAACGCTGAAACGTGTCCCTCCTACTGAGGTTTATTTTGGTACCCAGCAGCCATCTCCCCTGCTTCCCCTCCTCCACCCTTTCACGGCTTGTGTCACTCTGGTACACTTGGTACCGTGTTCTCACTATCGTTTTTAAAGTGCCCTGTGGTTTGGAAAGTTGCTTTGAATGTTCTTATTTCCCTAAGTTTCTGCATAAGTGACCTATCCATCAGAGTACAGAATGAGTTGTGGTTTTGTAGGGTTTTTTTAACCTTACTGAAAAATTATTTTAAATTTTAATATTCATCATTATTTTTTATAATGTTTTACCTCTGATAAATAAGCACTGAAGTTTTCTTAAGATTTAAAGAAGAAAGGTGTGCACCCAAATAGATAAATAGATTCATGAAATGGGGAATTTTATAAACATTTCTATTTTTTGGTACATGGTCTAATGCATCTCCAGCTGTCCTGGCTTCAGGTTCTTTTGCATGCTAACCTTAGAGGTCAGAAACACTTGGCATTGGTCCAGAGGACCCAGGCTCAGCCCCTGACCAATGTTGTCCTCATACTAGGAAAAAAGAAAGAAAAATACACACACACACACATATACACACATGTAATTTTAGCAGATTAACTGAAAATGTCAAGATTTCTGTCGTATACAGTTTAATAAGTAGTTATTAGGATAATCAGGAAAATCAACAAATGTATCTTTGCCCCGTTAAATGCACTGAAAATCTAATACCTGGGAATTTGTTGTGCAAGATTGTCATTTTAGGAAAGTCGGCAGCTCTATTGTACAGCTCCTCTGTCTACAAACAAAGATGGTGTGTTATTTTAGGAAAAGTTTAGAAACCATGTTCAGAGGGAACAGTCAGAGCCTAACTGAGCTCAACAAGAACTAGTTCTAGCTGGTAAGACTTCACTAGGGAGTGGCTGCTTTTCCAGCTCTTGAAGGGAAATGACAGACCTGTCTCACTGGCTGGCAGCTGTGGTGCTCTAGTTCTGTCCACCTCCTGTGGTTTCCCTCAGCTCTCCGTCACCACGCTTGGGTTCCCACACTACTAAGGTTCCTCTTCTCTCAACACTGCTTCCCCTGAGTAGTTTGCTCAGTTCCTTACCTTTTCTGCCTTCTTCAGAATGGCTCAGAGATGCTGAGAATGCTGCGATAGAAACCACAATCAGAGGCGAGAGGGGAGACTGATGGGCGCAGAACACTAAGCTGAGAAAGGGTTTGGAAATGGGTGTTACTGATGGCTCACAACAGGGAAGCTCTAAGATGCTACAGAATGAGTTCTGTGCTTAAATTGGTAAATGTATGTTCTGCACAAGAAGAGAAAATGATTATGTGAAGGGAACTTGTCCTTTGCACTCGGGAGGCTGGTTGTGAGTCTTAGTGCGTATGGGCATACTCTTCAGATAAAAATCAGCTTGCACCAGAGAAGGTCGTGGCTTTTTTTGTTTGTTTGTTTGTTTTAACCGGAGCTGAGGACCGAACCCAGGGCCTTCCGCTTGCTAGGCAAGCGCTCTACCACTGAGCTAAATCCCCAACCCCGAAGGTTGTAAAACAGAACCATGGGTCAATCCCCAAGGCATTTGGTCTTCTTCCATGTTCCTTTCTCAAAGATCTCTGAACATGCAAAGCTTTTGTTTTGAGTTAAGAAAGAATGAGTGGGGCTGGAAGATGGCTTGTTAAGAGCACTTCCTGCCCTGCAGAGGACCCAGGTTCCGTTCCCAGCACCCACATGGGGGCTCACCACTGCCTGCCACTTCAGTTCCAGGGGATCTAACGCCATCTTCTGGCCTCTTTGGGCACCAGTAAATACACGGCATACACATATACTCCAGGCACACACATCTACATATAAAATAAATACTTTAAAAATACAATTAGGAATTTTCATATTAGCCTTAATCATATTAAAGAAAATGCTGTCTTATAGGCAACTGTGCTGCTTTTTCCTGTTGATTTGTGTATCCTCAAAAAGGCTTTGTATTCTTTAGTAACTAACTGTTGTTTGGTTTCTTAACAGCTAAAACACTTCTTTTTTTTTTTTTTTTTTTTTTTGGTTTTTCGAGACAGGGTTTCTCTGTGTAGCTTTTGCGCCTTTCCTGGAACTCACTTGGTAGCCCAGGCTGGCCTCGAACTCACAGAGATCCGCCTGGCTCTGCCTCCCGAGTGCTGGGATTAAAGGCGTGCGCCACCACCGCCCGGCTAAAACACTTCTTTTCCATGGTAGACTTTACTCAGAATCTTAAGTACGTAAAAGAAAAGGTACAGAAAACAATTGGGTGGTAGAAATTGAGTGTGTGGGACTTGAGATCAGTGCTCACACAGCCTTTCCTCGGTGTTCTGTGTGAAGCACGGCTGCAGTCAACACTTCTGCTCTCCACAGTATATAGGTAGAACTTGTCATAACTTTGATAATTGGTGACCTCAAAGGCTCTACTTGAGACTGTTAGCATTATATCTCCTATTTATGACAATACGAGGGAATCAATTTATTGTCTGTCAGCTTGCAGTCCCTTTCTAAAGACTGTAAGCTGGCATGTCTGTCGTGGGTGTACGCGAGCTACCTTTGGCTGCTGTGACAGTATCTGAGATTAACAGTTAGGAGAGGAAAGGGTTACTTTGGCTCAAGGATTCAGTTCATGGTTAATCGTGCCATTGCTTTTCGCTTGTGGCAAGGTGGAGACATGATGGTAGAAGGGCATGGTGGAGGGAAGGTGCTTATCTCGTGACAGGAAGTGGAGAGAGACAGAAGAGGAGGCTGGGGACAAGGTAGCTCTTTCTTAGAGCATGCACCTAGCAGCCCGCTTGCTCATGTAGGCCCAGTCTTCAGTTTCCACTGCTCTCTAGTAGTCCTCTCAATGTTAGCTCATCAGTGGATGAGGTCAGATGAGGTTGATGAGATATGGGAGCCCAGCCGCTGTTCAAGAGCACCACCAGCTGGGGACCAAGCCTCTTAGGGAAACAGCTGGCATTCAAGCTATAGATGCTGTTTAATCATAGTGATGTGGTTAGTGTATGTGTTAGGGAAAACCTCTTGAGGTTTTCTGAAAGTGTATTTCTGATTTTTAATTTATTTCTTGAGATTATAATCACATCATTTCCCCTTCCCTTTCTGACCTTCAAACCCATCCATATAAAGCAAGCGAGCCCTCCTCACTCTTTTTCAAATTATGACCCCTTGTTTCATCACACACACACACACACACACACACACACACACACACACACACACACACACACACACACACACGCATGTTTATATCTGTTATTGGGCTAAGCATTTGGTATTAGTTAACCAGTTGCTGTGCTCTTCCCTGAGTATGACCTGTTCTCCCACTCTTAGCGTTGTTTAGTTGCCTGCAGTTTTTGTGTAGGGGTGAGGCCTCAAGGGCTTTCCCCTGAGATGTATTGATTGTTGTTCTTGTTCAGCTCATGTTAGTGAGACTTGATGGGTGTAGCTCTGACGTTGCTGGGAGGCTCCCTGATCTTCTGACTCTTACAGTCTTTCCAGCCCCTCGTTGGCAGTGTTCCCTGAGCTTTGTTCTGTAACTGTGCATTAGGACTGGGCTCCACAACTCTGCATTATGATTGTTGTGGTTTTCTGTAATGTCTTTTCTGTTATAAAGACAAGTTTCCGCGATGAGGGGAGATTACACTTACTGCGGGTATAAGGACAAATGTCTAGGGTGGGTGTACGTTCTTCTTCAACACAGGTAAGGACATTTCTGGCATGCATGTGGTGACTTCACACTGTTTTTCCTTAGTGAATTTCAAATTGTACAGTATCTGACTTTTTAGAAATTACTGGTATTTATGTCATGTTAACTTTCATATTTTTATGAAGGCTTTATTGAAACGGCTTGAAGCTGTGAAGCCAACAGTTGGCATGAAACGCTCCGAGCAGCTGATGGACTACCATCGAAATATGGGTTATCTCAACCCTTCACCGTCCATTAGACGAGTGAGATCTACCCTTGGCCATTATAGCCCACTGAGTAAGAATATAAAAAGCTATTTCCTATTTGTTTGTTGAGTCGTTTATCTCTTTTTAAAATAAAAAGCATAATTTATGTTCTTACGATAGAGATTTAAAATGCTAACTTTGGGATGCATTTTATTTTTCACTAGCATGTTATATTTCACTTAACTTCAGGCTTCATATGCAGATTATAATGGTAGCATAAAAGATAAAACCAAAAGATAAAATGAGTGAAAATAGCAGTATTTTCTTAGACACTGGAAGAGAGTCTTTTAATTCAGTGTGTGTTTTTAAAGAATAAATTAACAGATAGGCCGTTTGAACTGCCTGAGACATTCTCTAGCCAGTCAGAGACAATTGCTAATACCTTGTAACCATTTTGTGTGTCTTTTTTTTCCCTCACTGGATAACTAAGACTTACAGAATTGCTACAGAATTGCTGTGTAATTCTTTCTCATGTTTGACATGGGATCAGTTCCAGACTTAACCAACTGTGTACCCTAGCGGTGTGGAATTTAGTGCCTGCCGGGGGACAACATATAGAAAGTCGGACACATTCCTTTACAGAAGTTGTAGCTTTTAAGCTCCACAAGGAATGCTAAAGTACAGATCTATTGAGAATCATTTTATTAGAGTAGTAGACATATCTGGGATGAAGAAGGAAACCAGCCTGGACTTAAAATTAGGACAGGAAGTTTTTCAAATGATGGCTTGTGTACTTGGCTCAGATTCTTGAGATTGTTTTATCTTTGTATCTTCAGGAGGAGCTTCCAGGACATCCAGTGCGACCAGTGCTCTCAGCTGTAAGACTGATCGATCAGTGTTGGACACATCCAGTGGCTTTTTGCTAAGACCAAAACCCCCAAATGTTCGTACTGCTTGGTTGTAAAAGCTTTTTTATGGTATACATTGTTCTTCCTATTTTTAACAATGTATTTTTATGTATTACTGTAACTCTTTGTAAACATCTGTAATACTTTTTTTCAACAATTTATACAGCAATGAGTATAATTTATTGTTATTCAATGCAAAATTGTTATCCAAACACACTTTGATGTAAAATCAGTGTTTCATACGGTGGCATATTTATAGGAGCGATATGTGTATTTAATAGAGAAAGGTGTTATGCATGAACGTTTTCTCTATAGAACTTCACTGTGATGCTGACAAAACAGTGGTGGTGATAATCCATGTTGACCCAAGACACTCCTCTGTGTTCTTACTCTATTGGCTTCAGTTATCGTAAGCGGGAACAGAAGCGCCTCATGCTTTGGTTGCTTTAGAATGTCTGTACCATGAGCCATCACTTGATCATGTGAGTGTTACACTCCTTATGAGATGTGTTTTCATGGACAAGGTGATTTCAATTTGATGAGGAGAGTGAGCAGATTGTACTGGCACATGATTTACCAAAGGTGCTTCCCTGTAAGAGTTTGATTATCCACTCCAAACCATTTCACACTGAATATTAGGGGTTCACTTTAGAAGCTCCTGTTTTGTGTTTTTATGCAGTCAGGTAAAATACTCAAGGATTCTGAGCAAAGAGATGGCTTTAGCAGCCTACTGTCTTGTGACTGGTTTGTATCTAGATCATTTGCATCAGAAACAAAAGCAAATATTTGTTGGATCATTGAGCAATATTCGCAGCTTGAAGAGCCAAGCAGCAGGCCCTAGGGTATGTTAGGGCAGTGTTTGAAAGGATACTGTTCGTGTATGTGCTGTCCCTGTGTGTTTATTATATTAATAGAAGGCCTAGAGTATGTGCTGTCCCTGTGTGTTTATTATATTAATAGAAGGCCTAGACAGACTAAGGAAGAAATGCTTCAGAGAAACCAGTTATAAACAGGAAAGAAACTAATCACACATTGGTTAAAGCTACTGCCTTCAATATTAGTGAGTTGTCTTGATTGGGTTTGGTTGGGCGGAGTCCTTGAAGGCCCATTTTGAGCAGTCTCACATGGAAAGAATTGGAATTGTCCTGAGGAATTACTAGTGGCACAGGATCCATAGGTGCAGTGTAGTTAGTTGACTGTGAAAGCCAGAGTAGTTTTCTGTCAGCCTATAGGCTGTTACTATATGGCACCAAGTGTGATAGTTCATATTCATAACTTTTTCATCACTCGTCTCATTAGTGTGCCTTTAGGACATATAAATAAGTTTCATATTCAGTGACATATTTTTCTTAAAATAGGGATTTTCTCCACCACAGTGAGCTCTGTCTGATGGTGTAGCATGTGTACCACACCTGCTTCATCTTCCTTAGCAGGAAGGCCGACTGCACTTTACCAAATGCCGGGTCATACTGTTGGTATTGGTTGAATAGACTGTGTTTTACATCAAGCAGCAAAGGTCGGGAATGATGAGGCTAAAAAGACTGCTGAGCACATGCACCACGTACGCATTCCCATACACGCACATACATACACATCCACACGGTGGATGTGCACACACCACACACATCTACAAACACACAGTGGATAGGAACACAACGTGACAGGGGTTCTCTGCTGCTTTCTGGAGGCTGTAAACGTTCTCTGAAGAGCTCGCTCTTTGTTCTGGTGAACAAGATTTTGTACCTGCTTTATCTAATCTTCAGCTGTACAAACAATGGGTTATTTTTGTCCTAGTTTTTAGCACTGCACTTCTAAAGTTTGTGTAACAACAAAATGCAGCATTTTGGCATTTGCCCAATAGTGAGTCAATCACTTTTTAAAACAGATTTTTGAGGGAAAAAAAAAAAAACATATAAAACTTTATGTTCACAGTGGCATTAGCCTATGAGTACATTTTCTTTGGTCTCTCTAAGTTTCATAGATAAAGCTATACTTTGATTTTAAATGCTAATTTATGCCTTAATTTTTACTATTTGAAAGAAATTTAAGTATTACTGATAACAGGGATTCAACTCCAAGTAAAGGGCATCCATCTTTTAAAACAATTTGTAATGTTGTTGTTATAGGTGCATATACAGGATGACTCTAAGTAGATGAGTAGGAATTACAGACTTCGAATTCACTGATGTAAGCCAAGGGACTTTAAGGTTAGGAGTCAGGAGGCATTTGCAGCGGAGGTGTCATGAATACATGCATCCCTTCAACTTTACCAACATCGTAAACACGTGAGGGTTAGCACTGCCCTACAGTTGGCTGGCTTGTCCTTACTGCACATACTCTGAAGATTCCCATCTGGAGCTAGAGAGCATGCTGGTCTGTGGCTGGTGGCCAGATTGTACCGAGAACTGTTTTCATCTCTGTCAAATGTTATTATCTCCTTTTCTAGTAAGATTTTGTAAAAGATTTCAAACTATTAAAATTATTTCTTCAGGAGTAGCTGCACCTCTTTCTCCCCCAGTTTTTTCAGTCTCCATTAAAACCTGCTCTTAACAGCTGTTCCAGTTAGCACTTGGTGGTTTGCTTGTAAAATACCGTCATGCAGCTGTCTTCAACCCTAGTCTCAGAAATGGGATTGCGCAGCTTTGAAAGGCAATTGTCATAGGTCTGCTTCTCGCCTCCAGATCGATGCAGCAACTCCAGCGTATTAAGGTTAACGTACAGCTAAAGATGGAACTTTACCTTAGTTAGCAATCAAAAACTGTATCACTTTAAATGCCAAAGTCTTAATGTAAATAACTGTGTACCGTCAGAGAGAACGTGCTCCTGCTAATGTCTGAGTTGCTTATTTTCATGAATAAAGATTAGCAAGAAACTTAAAAATGTTGTAGTGTGTCGTACTTTAGGCATGAAGAACTAGCTTGGCCTAATGAAGAAAGAAAGAAAAGATGTAAAGAGAACCAAGTTTTGCTGGGCGGTGGTGGCACACGCCTTTAATCCCAGCACTCGGGAGGCAGAGCCAGGCGGATCTCTGTGAGTTCGAGGCCAGCCTGGTCTACAAAGCAAGTTCCAGGAAAGGCGCAAAGCTACACAGAGAAACCCTGTCTCAAAAAAAAAGAGAGAGAAACAAGTTTTGATTCTATATTTTGTTCATATTTTTAGAATTAGAATAAAACTTTTTGTGTACCCTACAAGACTATTAGTTAGAATTAAGTTGGCAGTTAGTTGTATTTTTGAAAATGTGGTATTTCTTTGGGAAAGTTTCTTTAAAATGACACTCCTGGTCAGCATTTCTTTGACCCATATGATTTGATTCATTTTTGTAGAATTATTAGGATGCTTCAATATCATGGTCATTCTTTTAGAGCTTGAATGAATGTTGCTATTGTTGGGTTGCTTTTTTTTTTTTTTTTTTTTAAAGATTTAGCTATTTATTATAAGCGCCAGATCTCATTACAGATGGTTGAGAGCCACCATGTGGTTGCTGGGAGTTGAACTCAGGACCTCTGGAAGAACAGTCAGTGGTCTTAACCACTGAGCCATCTCTCCAGCCCCTGCTTTATTTTTTTACGTAGCTTTTAAAACAGGTTTAATGATGCCATTGGGCTCAGGATGGTTGAGCGCCTTTCCAGCCCATAAGCCCAGCAGGCAGGAAGCTCAGAAGTTCAAAGTCATCCTCAGCTACAGTGAGTTCCAGGCCAGCCTGTGCTGTGTGATGATGGATCATGTCTACAGGAAGAAATCACTCCGTGGTACCCACAGGTGCATAAACTCTTCCTCTGCAGGGATGAAGGATGCACAAATGGGCTTGTATTCTATCAGTTGGTTTTGATTTTTAAATACAGAAATGATTTTTAGGTTGTCCCCTAGAGGGAGAAGGTGAGTCCCTACCGCTGCAAACACCATGTGCTTCACATCCCCTGTTGAGCTTCAGCCACTGACTGAACACCATGCACACCAGGCCCAGAGGCTGCTGAGCTGGAACCGACCTGAACACCTCCGCCCTGAGGACTAGCTTTCATGGCACCAGACGGTCCCATTCAAGTTTGCAAAGGAAAGAACTGTGAAGCCTATAAACCACAGTGATGAGCAGGATGGCACAGTGACCTGAAGGGTGCTGTCATGTCATGTGATGTATACCTTGGCCATAACCATCAACTCAACAAGAGGGGATCGATGCCTGGTATCGGAAACCTAGCTGACTACTCAGGGCTCAAGAAGTCATGGTTACTGGAGAAGAACCTACAAACCACCACTTTACAAAACTAGCATAATTCCTCATTACAGCCTAAACATTTGTCTGGAAAAAACAAAAGAAAAAAGAAACCAATGGCTGTATGAAATAGAAATTCTTCAGAAAGCACAGTGATTCCCACAAAGGTCTTTTTTTTTTTTTTTTTTTTTTTTAAACTATTACTTTTGCATGGTCTTTTGCCCTCTGGCATGTATATGAAGGTCAGAGGACTACTTTGTGGAGTCAGTTCTCTCTTCCTGACACAGGTTCTGGGGACTGAACGTTGTCAACGCGTACATGGCGAGTGTTTTCACCCACGGAGTCATCTTGCCGACTCCTAAAGCTCTCTCTTCAGAACTATTTCCAGGACACAGGTTATCTCACAGCTGAGTCAGAAGCTGCCTGTTAGGCCGTGCATGCCTCCTGCTTCTGCCATTACTTGGTAACTAACGTCTGCTCGTGATGAGAGCCCCAGAAGCACCTCCCGTAAAGCAGTCTGATAAGGCAGACTTCATACTTGTTTATATTCCGGGCAGAGCTCAGTGTGAGTATTCAGATGATAAAATTAGAAGAATGATGGGCAAAGGTCAGGAGCCCTAGTCCACACTTGCTCTCCTCTCTGCTTTTACCAGTTCCTCTTCAGATATGCCTTGGTTCTTCCTTGCTTGAGGTGGAGAAATGTTGCCCGTACCTGACCTGGCTGCCCTTCTGTATTTTCCTACTCTGTTGAGTTGGATTCCATCCCTACACACTGGTCCTTCTGTCTAATCTTTACTGACATATATACCCAACCATAAGTCACTTGTTTTTTTATTCTCACTATCCCTCTAGGGGCTAACTGTGTTCTGTAAGTAGTCACACCAGATTCTAGCTGTCTTTCTCTTGTAATACTCTTAGAACTTGATTGGGTTGAGAAGTACCCAGACTAGAAAAGTGCATTTTTTTCTGGTGTTTCTGGAGACAGATCTCAAGGGCTCTGAATGGATCAATTCCTTGATAGACTCCTAATCAGGAGAGCAGCATTGGGAGGTGGTGAAAGGTAGCAGGTAGCATGTGATTGGAGGACATGTTTCCCTGAGACATGGCCTATGAGCCATGACTTTCCCAGCCTATTCCAATATTCTTTCCTGCTTCCTGGTTGCCACAGTGTGATTATTTGGCTCCACCACATCCTTTCCACCATGTGGGACTGATACCTAGGAAACCCTAAGCCAACTCATCCCAAATTGTTTATGTCAGGAATTGTGTCCCTGTGACAGACCTGACATGTTAGATCCAATTCCACCGGAGCCAGGTTAGTTCTCTATGGCAACAAGTATAGGCAGAGTTTTCCTGTGCTGTAGCCTCTCTCAAATAATCACTCAGAAACTTAATATTAATTGTAAATGCTCAGGCAATAGCTCAGACTTGTTACTAGGTAACTCTTACATTTATGTTAACCTATATTTCTTATCTATGCTTTGCCACATGGCTCGGTACCTTTTTCCAGTACAGCATGCCCATCTTGCTTCTCTCTGTATCTGCTGGTGACTCTAGACTCTCCCCTTCTTCATCCCATCATCCTTAGTTTGGTTGTCCTTCCTGTACTTCCTGCCTGGCTACTGGCCAGCCAGTTCTTTATTAACCAATGAGAGTAATACATATCCACAGTATACAAAAGGTATATTCCACAGCATTTCTTCCTTTTTGTCTAATTAAAAAGGAAGGTTTTAAAGCCGGGCGGTGGTGGCACACGCCTTTAATCCCAGCACTCGGGAGGCAGAGCCAGGCGGATCTCTGTGAGTTTGAGGCCAGCCTGGGCTACCAAGTAAGTTCCAGGAAAGGCACAAAGCTACACGGAGAAACCCTGTCTCGAAAAACAAAACAAAACAAAACAAAAGGAAGGTTTTAACCTTAACATAGTAAAACTATATATAAACAAAACAGTAAGAATTAGAGTTACAATATTCAGTCCTTTTGTATTTGGCAAATTTAGAGAAAATTATCTTTGTGAATTTAAAGTTTTACATCTAATTTACCTTTTTAACATAAGTAAAGAAAACTATAATTATAACTATCTAGTTTCAACTCCATCGAAGACCCCAAAAGGATATAATATTACCTGAGTAAACAGGAGTACATAGCAAGTGACTTCCAGAAATTGTAATGACAGAAACAGTTGGTTGTCTAGACAGTCACCCAAGTTTCCTCTGTAATGTTAGGGCATCTATCCCTGACCTACAGGCCTAGAATATCTGACACTTTTTTGAGAAGCAGGGAATTTTGAAGGACTATCCTGCATTGTCTTGGCAAAGTTTGGCAGTCGCTTTTTTTTTTTTTTTAACGTCCTGCTGGTTCACTTTGTACAGTAACTGTCAGCAATTGAGGCAAGGGTAGGTTTTCCCATAAAGAAAGCAAACTCCATATTGAGTTACTGAGTTTTCTCGATGCCAAACATCTTCTCTAAAGTAGATTGGTGCTGCCAGGAGCAGACATGTCTCAATGTCTTAAAAAACCTTATGTTAGCCGGGCGGTGGTGGCGCACGCCTTTAATCCCAGCACTCGGGAGGCAGAGCCAGGCGGATCTCTGTGAGTTCGAGGCCAGCCTGGGCTACCAAGTGAGTTCCAGGAGAGGCGCAAAGCTACACAGAGAAACCCTGTCTCGAAAAACCAAAAAAAAAAAAAAAAAACCTTATGTTATTAAAACATCTTAAATGCCATATTCTGTAGATCTTTGAAGTGTTTGAAGACCATCTATCTAAATATATCTGTTTATGATCTTGAAAAGATACCTAAAATCCCCAGTGCTAGGATTAAAGGCATGTGCCACCACTGCCTGGCCTTTAGGACTTTTTTTTTTAAAGCTTTCTTGGGCTTTATGTGGCTGTACATGGCCCTGAACGTTGGGTGCCATTTGTAGGCGGAGTTTTCTTTCCCGCCTACAGTTGGCCAATTCCCAGATAACTGGCATGGAGACTCAATATTAATTATAAATGTTCAGCCAATAGCTCAGGCTTATTACTAACTAGCTCTTACAACTTAAATTAACCCATATTTCTTACCTAAGATCTACCATGTGGCTCATGGCTTATTACTTCATATTGTACACATCCTGCTTTCTATGTGTCTGGCTGGCGACTCCAGAGACTCCACCCTTCTCCTTCCCAGCATTCTCCTGGTCTGGCTCTCCCGCCTAATCTCTTTCTGCCCAGGTATAAGCCAGTCAGCTCTTTATTAATGAATGAGAGTAATACATATTTACAGTGTACAAAGATTTTCCACAGCA